TATATATATACACACACATATATACACACACACACACACATAATTTTTTAAAATTATTTTTAAACAGTAAATGGTGAGTTTAAGTCTAAAAATTACACTTGGAAAACTATTAAAGAGTCTGACTGACTGCATGTGTCAGTGTTAATGTTTCTGTCTAATCAGTGGGTGGAGAACATGAACCAGAGGGTGGATAAGTTACCTTTCATGGGGATCATGATCCCGCTTTCAGTGATCTAAACAGAGAAAGAGATTAAACTGTTAGACAACAAAGAAATGCTGCTTATGACTTTAAAAGTTTATTTAACTTGAGCTGAACAGACGACATTCAGAAGCAGACCCTCCACTGACCCCCTGACCTCCTCCTTTTTAACAGTGCTCTAACTGAACCTTTAATCACTCGTTACAGGTTGAAATGTTTACGACCTTGGGGGAAACAAACAAAGCCGCTTCGTAAACTCAGAGTTCGGCGATTTCTCATCTGAGCTCTGGCTCTTGTTTTACCTTTGCTTCAGCATTTGTATCCCACCCTCACACACTAAAGAAAATAAAAGATGCTGGAAAAGATGTAGGATTATTAAAAGTGCAGAGCAAGCAGCAGAAAGTTGGACTAGCATGTGGAAAAAAAAAAAAAGAACAAGGTTAAACTTTTTTTTTTTTTTTTAAAACCCAAAAACACAGAAGCTGGACACAAACACTGGAACGTCCCACAGCCACTGCTTGGCAGCAAACGCACCGCAGATTGACCTCAGCAAACAGGTAAAACAAGGGAAAACCACGACTGCCTGTGGAGAAAGATCATGTGATCATATGACTGAGCGCTCCTGCTGGGCACGTGATGCTGACTCCAGTGTGACCAGTTTAATGTACTAGGATTATTATTATTAGATTAAAAACGTGAATGTAGATCAGTGAGGTATCGATTTTAAAGAGTCAATAAATGTGTTTCATTATTGTAACATTATGTGCCTTCATTTAGACCCTTCTATATAAAAACGTCACATTTTCACAGCAGCAAAACATTACAGTATGTTAAAGGGTTCAGCACATCTGGAGCTGGGAGACAGGGTCACAGTAAAAATACCTAAAGTTTAGCTGTTAATGTAAACATATCAATTTAAAAAAAAAAAAAAAGGAATATTTTATTGTGTACATTCACAAAACAAAGGTGTTCTCTGAGATTTTAGTCATAATTTATGGGAAATCTAGATATTAAAAAAAATTGTATTAAAAAAACAGGTAAATTTGATGGAAAACACTTGGACACTCTTAGATAAAAGTTGCAAATTTATGACAAAAATGCAATAAACGACATTTTGAAATTTTTACAATGAAAAAAGTTGTAAATTTACAATCATGTGACTAAAGTCACATATTTTCCTTTAATTTTAATTAACATCTGAAATTTTCATTGTTCCACCAACAAAAACACCTGCAGTTCTTGCAGACAGTCAGAAAACAGAGCAGAGGGTCTAAGAGTAGAAAAAAAATGTATCTATCAGCATAAATAAACATGTGAGGGGAAAGAGGAGCTGTAAACATGCTGTTAGTGACACTCCTGTCTGTGGGCAGGAGAGACCCCACAACAGTGACTCAGTAAAGCTGCCACACCTCAGATCACAAATAACAGAGCACTGATGCTCCTGTGTCCCGTCACACTGAGCGTCTCCGTGTTTATGGTTTACAGGTTTATGTGAAGCTGTGACAAACTGTCTCACCATAATCGGCCCGTTAGCATCTGCAGCCGTGAGGCCGGCGTGAAGAGAGGCAAACTCCAGCTGCAGGAAGGACGGTGGCGTCACAGGAACTGGTTTGGGAGCCTGTTAGACAGCGCAGAGGGACAGAGTGAGCCCACAGGTACAATGTGTGTGAGTGGAAAAAAGCCACTAACACACAGAGCAGTAAAAATACAATAATGCAAACAATAAAAGCGCCGCAGACGCTCGGGCGAGCGACTGTTTGTGCAGCAGATGGTGGACTCTCAGCTGGGATCAGGTTCAGTCTGTAAACAACAACAAACACTCAGGTCCAATCTGGATCTGCTTAGAGGAGCATTTACAGGCCGGCAGAGCCACAAACAAATGAGGTGACTCACCGCGGCCTCAAACATGCGACCGAGAGCTCGCGGACGCCCCGCAGCTAAACTGGGTCATCTTAACAGGAGAGACCGCAGCAGCTGGCACTGATTACCACACAGGTATCTGATTCTCACTGAGATTATTAATCTGCAGCATCAGGAACAGTTTAAATCAGGGGAATTCACCATTCTACACTCCATCATCTGATTATTTACACAAACTGTAATTAATTCTTCCTCCTGTGCTCAAACTCTTCCTCACACACGGAGTCATTATTGTGAAGTTTCCTGTTTTTCCTACAGATTATTAAATCTTTATCAAATCAAACACTCGCATTATCACATGTGGTGCCTCCCTAAAGGCAGCGGTCGACAGAGGAAGATGATCTGGACCGGTAATGGATCTTTGGTCATTCATAGTCTCCTGGAAATGTTTTATTCATCGAATTCTTGTTGCAAATTAAATATAATCTGCTGACTGTGCAGAGTGCAGTGGGTAGCCCTCACTTTAGCAGCTCATCGACTAGGGTCTGGTTGGATTTAAGACCACAGAGGAGAAGACAAAAAAGCCAATGAAGACAACTGCAAAGAAAACAATGAATAAGATAATAGTGAAGAAGACGACAGACAAGACGAAGAAGATGATTACAGGACAAAGGAGAGAAAAAAGAAGGAGACTGAAAAAGAGATGTCTTAAGTAAGACAAAGACAAAGTCTTTGTCAAAGTCAAAGGAGACAAAGAAAAAGAGACATAGATGAAGTCCAAGATGATGGAGTCCATCTAACCACGGAGGGACTGCAGATTCTGTTAGTTTAATTTTCACTGTGGATCTTCCTATTTTGGTTTTCAATCTTCATACATTACGCTTTCCAATGTTTCTATTTGCTCATGAGCCTAAAGGTGGCCATGTTACATTTTAGTAAACCTGATGGTTTGATGCCAAGTGTAACTGTGACTGTTCTTGGCTGAGCCTTGCAGGACTTTCCAACACTCTGTAACTGACTAGTCTAATACAGTTTTAGTAACCAAAAAAAAAAAAAAAAAAAAAAAATCACACTAATGATAAAACAATGAAAATGGTCACTTGCAGTAGCCTTCTGTCTCGTTGGGCTGTTTTTGGTTCCTTTGCCTGTTGACCCCTGCTGTTGTTCTCTTTCCTGTCCAAGCCCACTTTTCAGCATTCTACCAACACCATCATCACGTCACAACACTGTGCTGGGTTTCTGATGGACTGCATGCAAACACATCTGCACTGGCTGCACGCTCCAAATCCTTTTAATACCTTTGAATTTCATGAGTTTAATAAACATCACCTCTAAGGACCCGTGCAGAGCCCAGACTCTGCTCTTTGGTTAAAGTGGATCCTGGTTTAATCATCTGCTGTTAAACTTAATAAACAGAACCACATTGTTTGGAAAGGCAGTCTGCTTGTTGTGGATGAAATGATGGTTTTAAAATGCCGGATTTGTGGGTCACACGAGTGCACCACATTAAGCAGCGTCCTGTTTCTGAGCAGCTGCAGGTGGAAATGAAAGCCTGCTGTTCTTAAACGTGACTCTCATAAAGCAGCAGCAGCAGCAGCAGCCGCCACCGCCGCTTGTCCCGCCAGCGAGATCCCCCCCTGTGCTTTTTTCGGATTATCTGAGGAACAACCCGGCTGACTTCTGGGTGAGGTTATCATGAACCCTTCGGCCTTTATTTCTCACTTACAGACGTTTAATTATCGCAGATGTCACGAGTCAGAGGTAATCACTTTGTTCCTCAGTGCCCTGCATTCTTACAAGACAACACTTATGTCATATTTTAACAGCCTTTACCAGCATTTGTACACCTTAAAACAACAATGTTCTCTGAGCTTTATAGATAGAACATTTTATTCTGTCCTGAAAGTCCACACCTTAAACATGCTCTAAACCTGGGCTAAACGATAAGAAAACAAAATAAAGAAAATCAAACCAAGACTGGACAAAAAAAGACTGAATCATCCTTGAGCTATAAAATAAATGCAGAGGACCAAAAACAGAGCCCTGAGGAACACCATGAATAACTATTAAAGATGCCCACGTGATTTTGAAGCCGCTGTTGTCGAACATGTTATAAAACAAAGTTACTTTATTAGTTCTGCAAGAAAGCATCAAACCTGAGTTTCCAAAGAAGAAACTCTGTTTCTGTTCCATTTACCTACCTGCACCTTCTCAGAGTTTCCCTGACGAGATTCATCGACCTGGTTGCTGCTATGTGACGTCCTCTTTGCTTCGTCTCCGTTTCCCTCACAGTCCTCCTCCTCCTCACTGGACAGCACGACTAAAGGAAGAAACAAACAAGCGACATCAGAACCTTCAAATCATGTCACTATTGTCACTTTTCCCCCATAAGCATCAAGCTGTGGGGCTGAAAAATAAACATGATTTTTCAATTAATGCCAATTTACATCCTAGAATTTCACTCACTAAACATGGAGCATATACTTAGACTCCATCACATAATTGGTGGAAATCAAACTCACTCGGCTCAGTTGGTTGGCTCAGCTTCGGTTTGGGTGTCCTCAGTCGAAGGTGGAGGACAGCTGACCTGTTGTTCTTAGTCTTCTCTTTGAACTGCCTCCACCTCTCTCTCTCCTTCTCCCTGTCGTTGACCTTCAGGTTGCTGGTGAAGGCAAGTCGCACCCTCCTTACTGGCGTCGACGACGACGATAAGACCATGGAGATGGTCTTATCGTGACCCTCAGGCCTTTGTGGGCCTGAGGGTGAAGTTTGATTCAATCTGGAGATAGAAGAGTTCTTTGTCTGTTGTTTCAAAGGAGATTTGGGAGGAGTTCCTGTGTCGCTCTGAAACAATCAGACCGAAGGTGAAGATCCAGTTTGTAACAGGAAATTTAAAGTTTACAAAACATTCACAATAAAACCTTTTTTATTCTCTGCAACTTTTTCCTGCATCTCAGGTGTACCTGTTTAATCCTAAACAATTTTATTGTGAAAATACTGCCTACTCTGCAAACCTTATTTTTCTAAAAAACCTTTGATGATTTTATTGCGAAAATATTGCAACTCCCCTCACTTAAGTTTCATGACTTTACTTTTTGTGACTTTCACTGTGAAAGTGCAGCAACCTTTGACCTTTACCTTCTCAGAAGTGTCTCCATTAGACTCAACTCTCCTCCACCTTTTGTCTCCCAGTGTAGAAGAACTCAAACTCCCAAGATGCTCGTCACCTCTGAACTCAGCCAGAGAGTCCACAGAGTCCACTGAGATCCTTTTATTGACCAAAGCTGCAGAAGAAATGACGATCAATCACGTTGATCAATAAATCTCAGACAGTCCTCTCTCTACCTGTGAAAAGCTAACCTGACAGCTCTTTCTTCTTCTGAGGTGGAGACAGGTGCTCTAAAGCCACCTCAGGCTGCAGCAGCCGGTCAGACGCTCTCTTAGGACGCCATCTGGTGGAGAAAACAGAGACACTCAGTGAGATTATTTAAATCATCTCGCAGCCTGCATCACTAATGAAAGACTTAAAAGTATATCAGAAACTTCTTTTTTACAATTATAGTTAATAACAAAATAATTCCAATGAAATATCATTGAATTAAAGTATAAAAAAATCTAAAGCCTGTCAATACGTGTAAAGAAATATTGAAACATTTAATAGTAAGTAGCATGAAACAAATCTACAAAAATTTTAAAGAAAATAAAAAGTAACTTTCCAACTAATAATAAGGACATGATTAATAATATTCTAATAATATTTATTGTAATATTATAACTAATAAAAAAATAACTAAAAATCTTTAGAAATGCTCCCTAAACACATTAGGTTGTAAATAAATAAATAAGAAATATTTAAGTAGAAACCTAAAAATATTATTAAAATATTGCACCACAAAGGACATATTAAAATATAAACTCTGTAAAACCGCTGCATTAAATGTCATTAAAACAACAAAACAGTGGGTGAAACTAAATTTATGAAAGATATTTGAAATGTGACAAAATACTACCAATTTTTAAAAAAAATTAAGTAGAAAATAAATCATGCTTATAAATTTAAATACCGGAAGATTTTTTAAAAACTGTAAACTCTCAATTCAAATGAATGACATGTACAAACAAATAAGTCAACATTAGTAAATCTAAACATTAAGGTTATGATTAGAGATGCAGAGGAGCCTAAAACTTGTATTAAAACCCCCCAAAAAACAAACAATAAAATTAGTTTTAAAAAGATTTTGGTATGAAGTCTATGATTTTAAGCGGATGTTGGTGCAGCTTCAGCTCGTTAAATTATTGAGTGCAAAAAGAAAAACTCACCTGTTTGACAAACAGCTTGAGGTCACTTCTCTCTGTCCTGCTTGTGATTGGCAGCTCCAGCTGCCTGCTGCTCTTTGATTGGCGTCTGAAGCTCCGCCCCCGATGGGGCTCTTGAGTACCTGCTGTGTCTTGAAGTTTCCTAAGAGCTGCTTACACGGTGTCCTGCAAGGAAATGACCTGGTTACTTTTAACATTTCATGGAAAGTGTAATAAACTATTTAGACTGCAGAGGGTGCTGCACTCACCTCTGTCTGGCTGACAAAGTGCCCACAGGATTCCCAGAATGCATCCTGTCAGTTCCACCTCTGCCAGACTGATTCCCGTAAAACTGCACACAAAACAAACAAACACAACCGCTTGATTAACTCAAACATACCACCTTAAAAAAGGTCCAACACTTTATAGATACCACCTTAAATGAGCCTTTCCTTAAATAACTGAATGGGTCGGACACTTTAAAACAACAACTTATATCACCTTAAGTAAAATCAATCTTACTCAAAACAGCCTTAACATAAATCATCACCACACATCAAGAATATGGGCTGGTACCACCTTAAAAAAGGAGTGGTGTCTCACGAGTTGCCTCCTGTTCAGCGGGGAAGGTGACTGAGTGGAAGGAGTGGAAGTATCCTGATATGCACTCTGCACACTCTATATAAGGGCAACTCCTTCCAATCAGTCACCTTAAAAGCAGAATTTTCAATTATTCGACCTTAAGAACCTAAATCACCTTAAGTATCGAAGGTTTCACTGGAGACAGTACCACCTCAATAGTACTCAAAACTGTAGATTTCATATGACTAATCAACTAAACATGAGAAAGTTTACAGACACCATTTTTAAATATCCCAAACAATTAACCTGTCAGATCATTAATACCACCTTAAACGGTTAATCAGAGGATTAAAGGAATGTAATATCACTTCACGGGGACAAACGGATGACACGAGGAAGATTTAGGAATACCACCTTTAGTCGAGGGGTGGAGGTCTGGAGGCGGGACAGAGGTGACTGCATGTCTAGGGGACTGGAGTCAGAGCCATGAGGATGTTTCTTCTTGGGAATCTTGAAGGAAGATGCCATCCTGCAATGACACGAATACCTCAGACCATACAAAAAAAAACAATCAGGCAAAAGTACAGGAGCCGCCTCATAGAGCTGCTGTATCCAGAGAATTGGATGTACAGGGGACGCTATGCCAAATTCCATTAAAAAACTGGACAAGTTATGCAGAATTTCATCAAACTCAGTGTATAAAAAAAAATTAATAAATAACAGTAGATTTAAAGCAATTTTGTCACATGACTGTCCTGCAGCTTTAAAAAAAAAAAAACAATATTAACTTAAAGAATCCTACAGTAATTAAAAACTAACTTTTACTATAAATATGGGTAAGGACTGCTACACCACGCACAAAGGATTTCAGGAAATTTGAAGCGTAGTTATTATGTGTATTAATCTGTAGTCTGAGCCCTCAAATAAATCAGACAAAACTAATCTGTTCAGAATAATATAGCTGCTTAAAAAAAAAAAAAAAAAAAAAAAAAGGTCTTACATGCATTTCTGAATGGCCACATATTGGGCTTCTGGGGCTGGGAACTCTAACCACCAACGTTCAGATCAAATCAAAAAACATCCCGGAAATTATGCCTGCCAGTGAATTTTAAACATATGCGAGTAAACACGATATAAAACTACTGTAAAATCGATGCTGAGCAGACCAAAGTCCATTTGAAAATTTCGGGGTTTTAACCTCACCATCGTTCCCTGCCACAAAACACAACTCTGTGTTTTCACAAACACTGAGACATTTGATGTTTTATACGTACAGGTTTAAATAAAAAGGTAAATGACCGTTATATATATTATCACCAGAATTTGTGGCAGTTCTCCCTCAGATCTTCCTTTAACTATAGAAATAAATATATTTGCCCCGTCTATCACAGCTGGTGGGTTATTTTTGCGCCGAATTTTCAAAAACAAGTTAATGATTTGTAAGGTGTTCACTGCAGAAAGCTACCACAACAGTGGACCCGTTAAATAATTAAAAACTGAATAAATTTACCAACCCGAAGTCCGCCGGGGGAGCCAGCTAAGCGGCTAAGTAGCCGGGGCTAGCCGGTGAGCTAAGCTAGCTGCTGGCGGACTCTACGCCGTTAAATGTCGCTGAATTATCCGGACGCCTCATGGGGCGGCAGGCGTTGAAGCTGGAGGAGTCCCACCGTCCGGTTAAGCTTAACCAACTAATTCAAAAACATCTTTCTCTTTGGGCTGGACACTAAGCAGGATAACTGCTAAATAACAACAACCACAGCGTAGCGACGTCACTCTGCGTGATTACGCCACGTGGTTTCCTGTTCCCTCAATAAAAAACAACTATGCAAAACAGCAAATAAATTGATATTTATTTTATATTTTATAATTATTTTACTTCATTCTGTTATATATCGTCCCTTAATATTAATGTTTGTAAATATTTGCATTATGTTTTTACTATTTTAACTGTTATAACATTAAAAACGTAATAAATAGTTCCTCTTTTAACAGTTGCATTTTGATGTTGTACATTTTTGAAGAACTCTTACTTTTTCTCAACAAGAAATTAATTACATTAAACACAAATCAATCAAGAGAGGTCAAAGTGATCAAACATGTTTTCTTCTTTCATTGGCTGAGACATTGCTCTAAATGGTGAGGTGATTCACATGGTTCCTGAAGTCCTGCTCAGGTGGCCTCTTTAGCTTGGTCATCTTAAAAAAGCCTTCAGAGTAACAGAACAGATTAAAAGTGTCTCCATCTTCACAGCTGATCATCTTTTAAGCCTTCAATTCCATGACAAGAATTTCACTCACATGTGCTGTACCAATGTACCTGCACATGTGATGTGACAATAAAAGTGATTTGATTTGATTTGATTTGAAAGTATCTAATACCACCTTAACAGCCAATCAGGCTACAAAAGTCACTTTCATTAAAGTCAACTGATGAGTAATACCACCTTTTATGAGGCTGACAGACAGAGGAAACTTGTTTAAATAAAGTTTTATTTTGAAACATAAAGATGCATTTCACTGAATTTCTTCCACGCATGAGGGATTGATCACTGTGACTGATCAATGGTTCGCATGACTGGGTGATTCACAGGCTGGTGGTTCTTTGGTTTGACCTTTAACCCCAGCACAGCTGGATGTTTAGAGCGTGTGTGTGTACGCAGGTGAACAGGTGTGTTTCAGTCCTTGGGAGGAGCACTAAGACCAGATCAAACTGGATCATTCTAGAAGTTGTTTGTGTCAGATCAGCAGAGTGCGACTAACACTCTCACCTCCTGTCCAGGGTCTGCTCACATGTTCCTCGACATGCTAAAGCTGAGGCCACACTTCCTCTTCCTGTCACATGATAAGTCTGTCAGTTTTTAGCTCTGTGATGTGGTTCAGCTTGTCTGATCGACGGCGGTGACAACGTCATCCGAGTGTCCCTCTGCTTCACCATTCCCACAATCCTCTGGGCTTCCTGTGGCGCTGGCTCTGGGCACCGTAACCTCCTTATAGTAGCCCTCCCTGTGCAGCTGGCGGCGGACCGTTCTGGCTGACACGCTGTGGCTCCGCCCAGCGTTCACGCTCTCCGTCACCTGAGCCAGCGTGGCGCTGCGGTTCTTCTTCACAAACTGCACCAGTGCCCGTGCGTCATGCTCGCCTAATGAGCGCTGCCGCCCGCAGTTCCCCACGCGGCTCACCGATGATTTCCCCTGTGTCTTGTACGCCGCTGTCACTTTTGTCACTGTTCCTATGGAGACGCCGGTAAGCTGGGCGGCCTTGGTGACTGAAACTCCCGCCATCCGAGCCCCAACAATGACGCCGCGCTCAAAGTCGCTCAGATCCCGACCTCGGACCATTAGGGCACCTACAAAAGGAATCACATCAGACCCGGTCAGGGGTCATGGGGAACACCTGAGAGAACACATGCACCGTCACCCTGTTCAGACCCACCTCTGAGAATCTGCTCCAGGTCTTCTTCTGGCTGTGTGGCCGTAGATTTTAAGGCGGAAGTGATAGAGCAGCTCTGAGGAGAAACAGAATATGATTCAAACCCAGCAAGCGTTATGTAAAACAAAACACTAAAAAGGATTACTAATACCACATTAAAATGCCTAAGGATCATCAGCAACAACCCTTCATAACCCTACACTGACAGTTCAGTAATACCACTTTAAACCACCAAAATCCTAAGGGACAGAAGCTGGAAATAAGTTAAAAACCACCGTAAATCAGTCACAGGTGCTACAACTTTTACAAAAATGAAAAGCTGAGTAATTCCACCTTCAAGAGGTACCTAACTGGATAAAGTTAAAGTGAAGCCGACAGAGGGACACTTCACTGAAGAGGTGGAGGCGGCTTCAGGTGAGGAGCAGAGAAAGGGGGAGGAGAAAGAGGGGCGTGAGGGGGGAGTTGTGAGGAAGAGGAGTAACTCCACACTAACGAGCTTACCTGGAGGTCAGCCTGCCGCCCTCTGACCTCTCTGCTCGGACTGCAGTTCTCTGTGTCCCGTTCTGTAACACACTGGAGGTTATTCAGACCTTTAACTCATCTCTGGCCCTCTCATCTCGCTCCTCCTCTCGGCTCCAGCTCCTTTTTTAGCTCCGTGTTCCAAACACAGCTTCCACTCGGAGACTGTGTTAGCGCCGTCCCACTCCGCCTTCAGCAGAACCGCTTCTCCTGCCCCAAAATGGCGGCCGAACTTTTGTTTTCTTCCTACTGGGCTTGTTCTGGTTGACCCACTGCACATGCGCATTAGTGTTTTCCAAACTGGGCCCGCCCACCACTTCCCGCGCTTTTATTTTTTAATGTTTTAAACTTTATTAATATCAAACATATAAAAAAAATTACGAATCCCCTTTATAAATTATTTATTAAATATATAATTAATATACAAATGTTAGTAAATAACATCTATTATTACTAATGTTAGTAAATAATATCTATTATTACTAACATTATATATATATATTTATATATTGTAAATAATTGTATATACAGGATACAGAGACAGTAAAAAACAATTATACACTCAGTAATAGCCAAAGGTAAATACAACATTCATGTAATCTATCATGAATTTTTTCCACTGAGTTATTTTTCCAGATAAATAATCCTGAAGCATGAAGATGAGACTTATATGTGCATCGGGATAACATATACCTGATACACATAAAAAGCAACTAAAACCTGCTCTAAATTCAATCTACATCACAGTTTCAGCTCATATAAAATCTGTGTAACAACATTAAACAGTCCTATCCCGGACTGTCCGCTGAAGTCCATCGAGCAGGTTGGGGAGGAGAGGATGTTGTCTAAGCTAACATCCATCATGGACAACACCTCCTACCCCCTGCATGAGACTGTATGAGCACTGAGCAGCTCGTTCAGCTGTAGACTTTTACACTCACAGTGTAAGAAGGAGCGCTACCGCAGGTCATTCTTACCAGCAGTTGTCAGACTCTATAACACAGTTTAACATCCTTTTGGTTATCTTACTAATCAGCTTGTTTGTTCACTGCACATTTTATACATATCTCTGTACAATTTTTCTATACATATTTCTGTACATTGTTACCTGTATATACGAACTTCAGTTGCTTATATATATAGGACCACGTTGTGTCTTCCTTTTATATTTTATATTCCCCTTGCTATAAGAGCCGTGTGACACCCAAATTTCCCATCCGTGGGATAATAAAGGTTTTTTTCTATTCTATTCTCCATTTCTCCAGAAAAGACTGACTGTGTGAAACAAATGCGGCAGCTCAGAGCAGACACACAGCAGTATCATATTAAACAGTCATTCAGCATCATTTAAAGCATAAAAACACAAAAAATACACTGGTTTAAGCCCTTTCCCTTTTATCATGGCAAAAACTTCTAAATAAAGACAGAGAGAGAAAAGTTGTGTGTCCACCAGGGGGACCCACAGCTTCACTCTCAGGTCACCATCACTGATCCACCACCATGAACATCATCATAAACATATCTGACTGTGGCTGTATCCCAATTCAGGGTCTGCAGCCTTAAAGTACGCATTTCAAGGCCGCATTTTAAGGCCAATTACGTCACCGCAACGCGACGAAGGTTGTCCCAATTCAAAGGCTGCTCGAAATGCGGCCCTGAAATGCGTCCTTTATTTCCCTGAATTTTAAGGATGTGGCGGTGTAGACCGCACTCCAGCTGACTTACCTTGGTTTGAATGACGACGTACTCACAGTTTGGCGGCTTGAAAATAGCCAAATCTTGCACCCAGCCGTTAGTAAATTGGATGTGTGCCTCCAGTGACTTGTAATTATGAAACTGGTTCGCAGTGTAAGCGCTTACTCCACAAACAAGATATGTGAAGATATCGGGGTAGGACAGTGGCGGTAAGTCGTCTGGGTCTTTACTCCACTGCCGTATTTCATATGAGTCCACGTGAAGATTCATCGCCAGATTAAGTGTTTACTGACAATTGACAGTGATAGTAGACATCATCATCACTATTCCAACAATCCTCTCCTCACAGACAAGCATAAACACACTCGACTATCGCTAAATCAAATTTAACACGCATTTGAAATGACGCTAATTCAGTTTATAATAGGGTTCATTTGCTCGGTCAGCAGGTGGCAGTATCCTCGTACACTGGGGAGTAAACTGCCATTAAACGAACAGAAGAAGAAGAAAACATCTGCACATGCGCGGTACGGATCAGGTAGGCCCGATTTGTACGGTCCGACTTTACACATGCGCAGTAAGGATCGGAGAGTATACTTACATACTAAGATATACTTACGGTGTTATTCTTAACAGATACTCTGACCCGTAACTATCGTAAAATGGAGAGGGAGGAAACAAGATGGCGGAGTGAGCAGCAACTTTATTGCAGGCGTCCGAACATTTTTGGCTTTCTTTTGTCCTGGAACTGTGAATTTATTAAAAGCAATAACCCGTCTTTTGCGCTTTTTGTGCACTTCAACCAGCCACTGAAGAACTAACTGTAAACCAGCTTTAATTTGTAATTTTTCCGGGGTTAATTTTGATGCTTGTCCTATGACCACGATGGATCATGACTACAACGTTTCGGTGTTGAGAGAGGCGTGTGACGAGGAGGATATTCAAGATTTGGAGATCACTGACATGACTTCCAAGGACTCCAGAATCAACTGGGCTCACACTCCGACGAAAAGCCCTAACCCGAAGAAAGCAAGAGGGGTGCGAGCGCAGCCGCTGGAGGAGGAGGACACCGCCGCAGCTATCTTGCAAGCAGTCAATGTGTTAACGCAAAAGATGGATGAACAGATGGCGTTGCTGCGTAAGTTTGAAAAGCACATTGAT